ACAAAACAAGTAATAATATCAAATATATATTCACCATTTTAATAGTGAAAATAATAAAGAATATAAACAATATATATTTAAATAATATTTTTTTTCCTCAATATATATATATATTTAAAGGAATAACTATAGTTTTTATAAATAAGAAAAAATAAATAAAAATTTAATATTTTTTATATAGTAGTTTATTATCAAATCGGAGGTTTATGTTTAGTACCTGGTGTTATTTTGATTTATTTTGTTGGTATCGGTACGAATTTGCTACGAATATTTGGTCAATAACTTGTTATAGCAAGCACTTGCTACACAAGTTGCTTTCGTTTTACGGCTCTATCTTCTTCCCTTCTTTTTCTTTTTTTCTTCTTCTTCTTCTTCTCCTTCTTCTTCGTCTCCTTCTCTTCAGCTCAATCTCTATCTCTGTCCGGCATCCACCTAGAGTGCACATCAAACTTCCTTAAGGCCACCTCTCTATAACCGGCGGGCTTGCCACAGGCAATTAAATAAGTATGATGCGTTGGTAATTCGAATTAAATTGCGAGTCCGCGCATTTTTGGTCCCGGACCAAGCTATTGGTAATATCAAAATAAAGATTCACATATGATATCGCAAAATATATGCTGGACTTAATTTCTTTCCCCATTTCCATGGCATAATCCACGATCAAACCTTTTAGGTCACTCCAGTAACATCTAATGACATCCAATGACTATGTACAGTGTTATGGCAGCATTGCACCATATACTCTTTCTTTTGGTTCTGCAGTTCATTTGCTTTCTTCGCCTGCCTCACTCCACTAAGGACGGCTACCTCCAACGGAGCACGTTCAAAATCATGATCGAGACCAGCAGGCCTGCGGCCGGGATTGGTGTCATTGAGGTCGTGGTGATATCGTTCCGCTCCGCAGCAGGGACATCGTCCCAGGATCCTCCAATTGGAGCAAGGCCAGTTTTTTTTGCATCGGAGCTCAGCTTGTCAACTTGGTCAGGACAAATTGTGATGATGTACCTCAGTACTGTGGCACGACATGGCTGTCTGGGCATCTGGGAAGAGATGTCTCAGGATCGAAAAATATATCCTCAAACAATGGCAAACACAAAGGATAATAATTTCCAGCTGTTCGCGCCACTGATCTGGAAACAGAATGAAAGAGAGAATGTTTGAGAATACCGGCTGGAGGCCAAACCCAGCCAGAATCAAGACCGGCTTCTTGACAAATTTGCTTGGAGCCCCTTCTCACGAGTTTCTAGAGCTGTTTGACTATCTACATGTAGAGTTCAAAGGCCTGTCAAAAATATATTCCTGCCAGTCATAAATGAGGCAGATGTAGCATCGTCGCAGAAGCAGCCAGCGCGGCCAACTATCTATTCTCTCCCGCACAACAAGAATCGAAGACTCTACCAGTAACCACAATGCCTTGAAGTACAGTATTCTTTGGTGACCAATCGATTTGGTTGAGTGAAGCGCAACAAATGCACTCGGGCTGAAAATGGTTGAAATACCTATGAATGTGTAAACTTGTACCCTTGCATACGCTGTGTAGGTACAATGTACGGTGATTGCACACTGGTCTACCCCCAGGCCAAAACATGTTTGTGGAGTCTCCTGTTCATGTTTGTCGCGGCACAAAAAAGGGTGAAAAGGATTGGGAAAAACACTAGTTCCTACTTGCTCCCTAGAGCGCTGCATCGAGCCTTCCCACTACAGTGCCTGGCACAAGGAATTATCAAATGTACTGTATTCAGCATACTGTACATGGCATTCGAAATGTCGAAACCACATTTATCAGCAGAATCTCAACAAGGGCTGTACTCTTGCAAAGGCGCTCGGCGGTATTGGGCTCTGGCCCATCTCGGCTGTCTGCACTCTGACATGTGAAAGTGGATGACTCGTCATCGAAGGCATAGGTGTATGCAGTAGGACAACCTCTCCTCAAATTGTCTGGCACTATCCAGATGTGTACGGGCGACGATGATGATCCATTATGATGCTCCGTTCATCATGCATGATATGGAGCTTCTTAATTTGAGTGCACTAGATTGCCTTCGGACCACGACCAAATTTGAGGTCATACTGTAACATTTTTAGATGCTTTTTACAATAAGAATGTGATGTAAATAACTGTTTAAATTCCGTTCATAGACAATGCGAATGCGAACCTCCTTCACAAGCCTCGCCTCAAGCCAACTGAACTTGATCTCTTCAGGCCACGTTTGAGTTCAGGACTGAGCTTTTCAAGCAAAAGTCCGTTCGAATCCGTTCGAGTTGTTCAACCCACTGTGTTGAGGCCAAGCAGCTTTAACATCTCCAGGAAAGGCAAAGCGTGCTTTTGCCATACAGGATTTGAGCCCTGACAGCCTGACACAAGAAAATCCAACATTGAAATGTCAGAAGCAAGGAGACCCCGAACACACCTGCACATGCATGCCCATGCTCTATCTGGTCACAACCAGAAATTAAATGAATTCTACTCATCTTCGGCGACAGGTTCGCCAAGAGCTTCTCGACAACAAATCTGCAATCTGAATAATCTGACATCTCTACAAGAAGCCTACCAGCCTACCAACCACTTGATGAGTTGTTGCTGCCACCCATGTCCCAAAAACGGAATTACGAGATGCTACAACCATCTTCAGCTACTCTTTTGCACCTTCATGCGCTTTTGGCACGTTCAAGCTCAAGAGCTTTTGCCACTCGCCACAACCACAGCATGATCCCGTGTGTGGAGAGTAGCCTCAGACACCCAAGCAATCTCTTGATGCATTGAATTGATGAACATTCCCTTGGGTTGGCCAACTGGCCACCGCACTTTTGCCGTAAGCAGTTTGGCAAGACTTCTCAAGACCTCCAAAGCTACTGTATCACATCCTATCCTGCCACAATTTGGCATTGTGAAAGATCAGAACAACCGTAACCCTTGACAATAGCTACGGGTGAATAAGCCCTTATATCAATCGCAGCAAAACATGTGCCAGTGCAGCTGCGGCACACGTCGTTGTCCAGGGTTCTGCTCCAGCGCAAGCAAACATCTGGTGATGCGCTGGGCAGTCGATGATTCCTTCGAAAGGAGCTGGACCTTGGATGCATGGGATGAATCAAAATGATTCAAATATATTCAAATGCACTCAAATGCATCGTATCGCTTTGATTCATCATGACATATCATGACTGGCTGATCGTCGTGAGCTCACACTTTTGGTCTGCCTATTAGGTATTTTTTCTTGGGAATTTGCAAGCAAGTTGTTTGCCGTGATTCTGTCAAGGATCAATTGAAAAGCTCATTCTATGATTGATTGAATTTGATGTGTGTGTGTGCGTGAGTGAGGAAAGAGCCACTTCATTAGTTGCCGAGGTGTCCGACTCCTTGGCCCAAAAAAGTCGGCAGAAGCAGTCTGGGCAAAAACTCGTAATATAGATTTGGCATGATTTAGCCACAGTCACGGAAACATAAAGATACACAGTGTCTAGAGTAGCTTTGGCAGAACATTCTAAAACTCTGGCTGCATGAGGCCGAAGCACAAGGTTGTTGCGCCTCTACCATAGAGATCAATAGAGAGTAAAGGAAATGTGTCTTGGCGGTTATCTGAACCTGGCCAACCTGGCATGCATGAAAAGAAGATAAAAGAAGTAAGAAATGAACAAGTTCTGTACGAGTAGCTGACATAAGCATTGCCGCTCCAAACACAGAGTTGATACGCAGACCACCAACCAATTTGGTTGCCGCACTCCATGCGTATCTCAGTTGTTGGCTGATCCTGTCCAGTCAGAGGGTTCCGAATGCGAACTGCCTTCTGTCCACACCTTGCAGAGTTCCCACAATCGGCGTCAGATGCGCATGGTGTTCCGTTCCCGTCCACCTAGGCAGGCAGGTCTAAAGGACCGATAGACTTTGTAAGACCGAGAAAATGTTGGCATTTACAACAAGACATGACCGAAGGCTGAGTTCCAATAGAATTACGGAAAATGCCGATTTACATGCAATATCGACGCTCGACTCTGTGCCTGCCGCAACAGAGGTCCCATCAGGGTAGTCGTGGGCTTGAACTGCCAAGGACAGGAAGTTAGTCTGCCATCTTTCCTAGTGAGCTTCCAACCATTCTGCAAATCTTCAGCAAACAACAAATAACAAACAGTAAAAAGGCTGGCTGATGCGTTTTTGATGTTTATTGTGCATATTTGGGCACACCTGAAAGGCTAAAGCACCGTGGCTGGGCTCAAGATGTCTGAACGGGGATCATTTAGCCAAACGTTATTTTGCAAACAAAAAAAGGAACATGTACTGAATGAGCTGACTGAGCTTGGACTCTGGTGGAAGGCCCCTGCAGCCCCGCAGTTGTAGCCTTTCTGGCTGCCTGCGACCTCTTCTCTGATGGCATCGAAGCGATTGCTTGGCTTCATTTCAATTCCAACATTGAAGCCATTGATCACAGAAACATCATAGTAGTCTGGCCCGAATGGTACCAAAGTGAATTCTACAGCAGTGGCCACCCCGTTCAACCCTTGATATGGCGGACAGAAGGGCATGTTGTTGCAAAACGCAGAAGGTATCAAACCTCCATCACGTGTATGGTTGGCATAAAACTCAATTTTGCCACTCCAGTCAGCAGTGACACCGTTTCCTTGTTGTACGGCCTCGTTGGGTGTGTACAAGGATATCCGTTGCCCAGGATCAATAGTCCAGTCCATACCTGGTGGATTGAAATCGAAGTAGCACTCGTTGTGAGGACTGCAGGTCATTCCATCTGGACACTCACAAGGCACCTGTGAGTTTCCGCCTGTTGGTGCGATGATCATGGGTCTCGAGCATCTGTTCACAATGTCAATGCGCCGCTTGGAGGCACACGGGAACAGAAGACCCAGTGCAACTGCAATAACCTTCAACGACAGCATAGGTCTACAAACTCTACTCCTCGAAGGAACATGGTTGGAGCCAGCACAATTTGACAATCACCGCGTTGCCGGAGCAGCAAAATCTCCAAGAGTACTTGATCTTTGATGGGAAGATACCTACCTTTTTGAGGTCCAAACACCGTTTCAAACTGAATTTGCTTGCATCACGTATGCTCCACATTGATTTGCTGTGATTAAGATAGAGGGAGCAAACATTCCGCTGCACTTTTCACTTTTTGAGATGTCCGCAGATCCCGATGCAACAATTTTCGTGCATCGGCTGTCAGGTGAGATTTTGTTTTGCTTTCTGGATGCGTGCTTCTCCCATGTTCAGATCTGTTTCTGTATGACACCGTCCCTCAGACCACTTTCAGTGACTATCACGTCATCCTGCTTTTGTTGTCGGTTGTGAGCTGCTTGGGAGCTCAGTCTTTACAATGACTGCAAGGCCTCGGATGGCGAATCTACCAGCATGCTAATATACGTGTATTTATATATATATACGTATATATACGTATATATACGTATAGTATAGATGCATATCGGCTTCAAAACAAAGTCATCCTGTGTATTACATAGATTGTACGCATTAAATGCAGATCTCCAATGGTTTAGACACATGCAATGTCTTGGTATTGACTGAGATCGAATGGGCCAAATTCTGGGCATCATGCTGTTGCTGCAATCAACGCGCCGTGTGGGGGACTTGAAGCTCCTGCTTGAAGTTTGGTAACAAGGCATGAAGCAGGTTTGGAGGGAAACACAGTGCCAAGGGACAGCACAGTGGGGTCAGAGGCAAAACAAATCCAAGAGTCCAAGAGCAGATCCAAAAGAGCAGGAAGCAGATCCACTGCAGCGATCCACGTTTAAAGTCCCCTGCTGAGTCGTGATAGAAAGTAGCACTTCCATGAAGGATTTTTGAAGAGGTCCACCCAAACCATCGCAACCCTCCAAATCAATGCTGTCCCACTGAACACTTGGAGATACTGTCTCAATCGCGTCAGGAAGTGTCATGATGGACTGCCAGCTGGTTCACCATGGTGGAAGATGTTTCAATGTCTGAAGCATTGAACCAATAGATCTTCTACATTGATAGATTTACATCCCAGGTTATATAAGATTCATGCCATAAAACATTTTGGCACAGACCAGAGCTTTGCAGCCATGAGCTCGTCCATGGTACAAGTATACGTATATGTATAGAATATAATCCATGTAAGTTGTTGTTTTCTGACAAATTTCAAACAAATGCAAGACATTGCTCCTCATGCATTGATGCAGTCTCTGCATGTGCACTCCGAAGCAATCCAATAGACATATGCACCAAGCGCAGCAAAGCCCCATCCACCTTTTCCCTCTTTGGTGATTGCCAGAAGGGCTATGGATGAAGAGCACCTCCTTTGGAGGCCCATCCAGGGCAAAGAGCAAGACATATCAAAAAGGATGGCGTCGGATGGAATATCATGAAGCTCTTGGAACCAAATGCATACAAAAAGCACGAGTAGAACTTCGAAAGCCGCTTGAGACCTCCGTGTTGAGTAAGTGATGTACGCTCCACGCCAAATATCCTTGTTTTCAATGTAGATCCTCAATGATCGCTTGGCAATACAGAGTTTATTGCCTTTGTGCACGTGCGTTTGCCCAATACAATTCGCATGTTTTTTTAAGGGTACTCTGCCGGGTAAGAATGGGAGCTCACTGAATGTTGTGAATGTCTATGTGTATTTATATATATATACATATATGTACATATAATATATATATATAATTATCATCAATTATCTATAGATACACTATGTGTAAAATACACCTGCAGCCTACGGTAATACTAACTACCTGTAGTATAGACTAGTTATGGCGTTGCTTCATGATATTTCGACTCCACAAATGATTGGCTCTGCTCAAAATCGGACTGGAACGCCGCTGGTTGCGCTGACTAGGGAGTGCAGCGCTTGGACATCGTGGTCAAGCTTCTGCGACATGGTTCGCAGAAGGCGTAACAACCTGTTCACCCGCATCCACCGGCATGCTGGAGCGTGTGCAGAGTTGGCCAGATAAACAGCCCCACAGTTGATAATATTCAACATGCTCCCAAAATATGAAGGGAAGCAATCTGCGGAGATTGATTCTGGTACGAGATTGGGTCACTGCACCAAACACTTTTTCGGGGTACAGCATCAAACTACCTTTTGTGCCCTTGCAAAGGCCTCAAAGATTGTATTGTGGAAATTGGCACGTCCAGGAGTACCAAGTTCCTTACATGCACAACGATGTCAAACTGTGTCCCCCCTCCACAAAAAGCAGCAGGTACCAGTACCAAAAAATCCATCGAATGAACACAAGATAAATTTGCAAAGCCGTTTGACTGTGCAAAATAACTGGGACACAAAATGGCGCAAATCACACACTCACAAAATAGAAACACGGCAATGATCTGCAAAGGAGGAAGTGCTTGACCAAGCAGGTCGGTTTGAAGCATGATGAAGCATCAGCCCACGTGGATTCCCACCCTCCAAAACATCACTCACCTTGAAGTATTTAATCCACACAATCTCTCACACACACACATTTAGTTTTGGTGCGTTGACTATGTGTGGCCTTCTGTGTCTGTAGTTTGATCATAGGCTCAGGTTTCCAAATGATAAATACATGGAGTAGGGTATAGGTTGTCGCATGTTCCCGCAGAAACAACGGTTGTTCCAACATGGTCAAACATGTTTCTTTTCAGAATGTCAGTGTTGTCAGCTAGCGATCCCTTGAATTAGGTACTGTTCAAGAATGTTCCTGGTGGGCCCGAGCTGCTTACCCCCACCCCATAATGTTTGGACACTGCTTGGACACTCGGACAACAGTTCAAGAAATAAAGGCTGAAGAACAAAGAGTTGGGCAAGCTTAGGTCACTTAAGTCATAGTTTGCAGTTGATGCTGGCGTTGCTTTCCCAATAAAAATGGACAGGCCAGGACCAGCCATAATACAGTCAAGTTCAAGTTCCATTGACAGGGTGCACCGCAGATCCAACAACATGTGAAGGGATGTCAACGATTCCAAAACAGCAATAAATTGAACATATATATATATAGATGAACATAGAACAAAGATGAACAAAGGTTGTTTGAGTAACGAACGCATAGCCAATCTATGGGCAACCAGTGTGGCCACATACTCTGGAGACTCATTTGCTTTGGATCATTAAGCTCCTTGACCCACCAGTGGTGCGCATTCTTATTAAACAGAAAAATATGCGTGGATAGCTGAAGCAATGCCAAAGCTTCAAGAGGCCTTCTACAAACTCTGTTTGATCAAGCTGTCCGCTACAGTCAACATCCAGCAATTCGAACAGCTCCGGCATGCTCTCCTGAGTGAAAGGCTGTAGGAGGAAACCCACGCAAATACTTCGGAAAGTAAACGAGATGTTTGAACATGGTTTCATTCAGCAACAAAATTGAAAGGCCGGACAAGCCCCATGTCGACCCTCTAGGGCACACTGAAAGGATAACAAAAAGGAAGTACAAAACAAAGGGGCTCAGGAATGGGAAGAGGACTACCAGTAGCGTATGAAGCTGGTGTGGAAGAATGGGGTGTAGTGTGAGAAGGTAGAGCGCAGAACTCAAAAATGTGCCAGGGGCGTCAGAAAACTGGGGACGTAAGAAAGTCAAAAAAGTGGAGACAACATGTCAATGAGAATGGGTTGCCAGTGCATCAAAGCATTCCAACCCAAACACTCGTGTTGCACAAGTGCGGATTGTATTGGACCATAGAGTGCGTGTGGGTTTCTGAAATTGGGAGCAAGAAACGTGAGCAGTCAATCCAATGACTCGTTTGGCGAAAGTCACTGTTTTTGTGGTGGCTGCCCGTTTTTTCTCATCGCTGCAGATTCTTTGCGTCAGGCGTCAGTTTTTTTTGCGCTGACCAGCTGTAAAGCCCTCATTTCAATGTAGGGCCAAACAACTGTCAAGCAAACGATTGCCAGCAACTTAATTATGTTTGAAGTTGGACGCGCGCTTTAATCAACTGTGTCTCTGAAACAAACGTGCTTGGGCGGCGAGGCCATCCTTTTTCCTCTTCACTACACTAAGTACACTGTTTTTGCATTAATTAATATGCATTACTTGGGGAAATTCTCTCTTGCATCTTTCCATCGTATATATAATGTGCTGATATTTTGAGTGTGTGTGTGTGTATTTGTGTGGCAGGAAGAGTGTGAGATAGAGTGCACACAACGAATGGTACGAGATGAAGTTTGTGAGTCAAAAGTGTGTGTGATGAGCAGAGTAAGGAGAGAGGACGAGAAAGCAAATGTCCCACTCTGGAACATGAAAGCAACTGCTACTCTGTTGTACTCTCTTTCAATGTAGCTGTGCCTGGCTCTGCTGCGATCTAGAACGATACTTGCCATTTCTTCCAAATTTGAGTTGCGTTTCATACTTTACCAGTAGTACCGCCGCACAAGGCAGTGGCGGAAGTTTCAAAAATAGGAAACCTATAGGAGAGGTTGGTTGTTGTGAATCAGGGATGGCAGAGCGAAACCACTGATGGACTGAAAGGTGCTTGAGGTCTCCTCTCTTTCTCTCTCTTTCTCTCTTTTTCTCTCTGTTTCTCTATCTTTCTCTGATTATCTACCTACCTACCTACCTACTGATCTATCTGTCTACCTATCTATCTGTCTGTCTATCTATCTCCCTATCTATCTATCTCTCTCTCTCTCTCTCTTTCATCTGTCTATCTGTCTAACTGTCTACCTGTCTATCTGTCTATCTATCTATCTGTCTACCTGTCCATCTGTGGTGCAGTGTCATTCAGTGTAATGTAGTGTAGCGTAGTGGAGTGTAGTGTAATGTAGGGTAGTGTAGTGTAATGTAGTTTAGTGTAGTGTAATTTAGTGTAGTGGAGTGTAGTGGAGTGTAGTTGTTTAGTTGTAGTTGTAGTGTTGTGGAGTGTAGTGTAGTGTAGTGTAATGTAGGGTAGTGTCGTGTAGTGTAATGTAGTGTAGTGGAGTGTAGTGTAATGTAGTGGAGTGTAG